GAAAGTTTTCAAGTCATTTTTTTTTATTCGGAAATTCTTTTGAGATTTCATGATTGCTTCCGTTGATTTATGCTTGTAGATTATCCCTTTAAAATAGAGGAAACAGTGAACCCGTACTGTCGACGCGTCGTCTTTCGGCACACTGCTGAAACTCCGGGAATACATACCATAATGGGTTTAGTTGTATTTTGGCAGATACGCTTCAACGGAGAGAATGAGCTTTTTAAGATGCAAAAGGTTATTGAACTGAAACATCAGGTGTCTGCAAGGTTTCAGTTTCTCAGTGAGTTATGAAGTAACAGCAGCGGCGAAATGTCGGAGTTTGATTCCGGGCTGTACTTTCGAGTGGCTTTCTTCGCTTTTCTTATTCCTCTGGGATCCGGTGAGTTCTCTATCATTTGTAATCTGGGCATATGAGTTAATACCTCAACGAAATCACAGATTGTTTTTCGGCAGGGACTCCATAGATATGACATAATTAAATTCCATTTCATTGCCGTCAATTGACAAACTGTCGAGTGCGACCGAAAAATCCCATGTGAATTCAAACATCTTCTTTAAAGCTGAAACATCTGACAAGTTATTTTATCTTGAGAGAATGAGTTTGGGAGAATTGTAGTTGCGATTTTCAAATCTATCTGGCATAGTATGATTTACTTCCTGGTAAGGGGTAAGAGCGTCTCACCGACTGACCTCGTCGCTCGTTTTTTTCTTAGTTACGTAAGAGCATGAACTTCTCTACTTGGCTTCACGATGTTTATGAAGCGGTAGCTTGAGAGAGATCTGAACTTTTTTCGGAACAGAACTAGCTCGCTTCGTTATCGATTAAAATATGACGGTTTCCTAATTACACAGTCATCATTCTTAGAGAGGCATATTTGAAAGCTATGATCACATGAAAAGTAGTTTTAGAATTTGGACGATTTCGACTGCCTTCCTATACTTTTACTTAAAACAGTTTCTGCACCATATCGAGCTTTGCTTTAATTTACGAGCTGTCCAATTTCTTGAACACAAAGTTGTGTTATTATGCAAATCTGGTGCTTATTTTAAGATTCCATTTTAGTGTTCATACTAGTTCGATACATTTACTGCCATTTAGCTTCTGCTAAAGGAGCGGGACTACCATACAATGACAATTATGCAATAAACCAGCGTGAGCCAAATCAAAAGGGCAGAGAACTTCAAGAACAAAGTAAACTGAAAGTTCAATTATGTTAATAGGTTTGTCGTGACTTGGCATATCACTGTCGACTATTGTTTTAATAAATGAGCAGGCAAACACGGCCAAAGTGGACAACTGTCTGACCAAGCGTTGGAATGAAGTCGTATTCATCACTTTACTCAAACAATACGCCATAAGCAAATAGAAAATACAGTTCAAGTTAAACAAAGAATGAACTCAGCTCGCCTCAGACGTAGGTGTTTAAGAGGCGATCTCTGTAAGAGCGGTCCAAGATATTTCGCATCGGAAAAAAGTTTTCCCTCAAACTTTGCCCAATAAACTATCTTCGTTAGCAAGTAAATAAAACCCCATTAGTTTCTGGAAATACCGCGGTTAAAATAAAATTTTTAGAGCTCTCAAAAGTCAAAGCTGCTAAAGGCCCTTTTTTAACCTCTTGCGACATCGAAAATTTCAAAAGTTGAATACCCTGGTCCTCGTATCACACCGCATGCAGCAATAAATCTCTTGTATTTTTAAACTGTGTGATATGTCAGGTGAATAAAAAGTATTTCAATTTTGATATTTGTTTATTCAGGGTTCGTCATAATTTATTTAAAAACACTCGTTAGACAGCTTTCTGAAATTGGTCAAAAGTACTCTTTCCTTCTTGGTTGATATTGCTCAAGTCCAGACCAGACCATTGAAAACTCCGCTTGATTTCTTCTAATAAGATGTTTGGCTGCCGAAAAATATAAAAACATCTTGCACTTATTAATTTTGTTCGCCGCAATAACTTCAAACTTTCAGCGATTTTGCTAGCGTGACAGCCGATTATGCAAATTTGTTCACTGAACAAACTCCGACCGTTTTATATAAGTAGCTCAATAAATCTTAGATTTTAACCATTTTAAGTTGAAAAGATAGTAGGACAGAGCTTTTAGACTACACCGATTGATACTCTAAACATTTCAAAAGGCCAGAATTTGACAAATTTTACCCTCTCGTGACGAAAGACGTCAACAACAATCATCGAATATCATAATTTGATAAGCGCTCGCTTAACATTTTAATGGCAAACTCTTTCTTAAAAAAATTTGGCTTCTGCTACTTCATACATATTTGAGTTCTGACAGGTTATGCTATTCAAATCTGTATGAACATTTCAGAACCAAACTACAGGATTCTATTCAGTGTAACCGGCGATAACAGCACATACTAAAATACACCGTGAACAGTGACTCTGTCACGTAATTCAATTTTGTAATTATCCTGAATTGCTTCTCCTTTCTAAATAAAGCAGCGATAACATCATTTTTTAGATAAGCATTCTAGTCGGCTGGAATAAGAGAAAGTTTGTCTGCACACCTGTCTTTAAGACAGTTCTATTCAGAAATTTAGCAGAGATCCAATTCAAGTCTTAAATGCATATATCGATAGCCTCGCCGATGTTGCACAAAAGCCCAGGATTACACATTTGGAATCCCAAGTAGATTGTAGGGGAAAATGCTCCTTTCCCGAAAATCTGAGTTTGTAAAAAAACCGAGGAAGCGTGCCAGCTGGTGTGCGATGTCATTGCTCTAAGAGATGGAAAAGCGTTATTCCAAGCGGTCGTAGACCATGAAGAGAAGTGCAAGACAGCTATTGATGTTGGCCTTCAAACCCTTACGGCCGCCTATCAGAATGCTCCCACAAAATCACTTAGGACTCAAATACTGAGTATTTATGCCGATAGATTTTCAGCCAACGAGCTTAAACGCATGCATCAGCCATTTGAAAACCTCTCCGACAGACAAATAAAGAAGGCAAGAGTACAGGCGAAGAGTGAGGTGCCTGTTGAAAAAAATCCTGCGTCACAGAATCCGACCTTGAGCTCCATATGAACTTGGTGGTTCATCATGTAAGTCCTGTGTCTGCGAGCATGACTGAAAGTCTTTATGGCAAAGTGAAGAGGGAGTGGGTTCATCACTTTCAGTCATTGTCATTAGAGGGTTCGACTGAACTGGTTGCAGCGGCCACAGAACCCTTGACAAGTGCCTCACAGCTTCCCATGGGATGAGCTCTTCATAAGAGAGGTGCAAGTGTACGGCCTTCGCAAAACGTCAGGCAGTACTCGTGTTTGGGGGAGGCCAGGAGCACAGTAATGGATGAGATAGGACTGAAAAATCCAATCATGTTTGCTGTCTATGATGTGTGCTCGTTGGCAAGAGGGTGAAGGTTTCCCAGCCTCAAAGTCAAGGTACTAAGAGACATGTGCAAACATTTTGAGCTCGCATTCAAAATGCGAGATACAAAGACAACACTTCTTGCAAAAACGGAGGAAATGATTTCGGAGTGGAGTTGTACTGCAGTCTAATTATGACGTCCACCCGTTATGCGAATGCGATATCCTTTTTCACAAGAACTCTCCAAAGTTATGAACAGCGACTGCTATGCTCTAAAAAGAGAGCTCTAAAAATTTCATTTTAACCGTGGTATTTCCAGAAACTAATGTGGTTTTATTTACTTGCTACCAAAGATAGTTTATTGGGCAAAGTTTGAGAGAAGTCTTTTTTCCGATGCGAAATACCTTGGACCGCTCTTACAGAGATCGCCTCTTAAGTATTCGGTGTATATTCATGAAACTCGGCACGAAACAACTACTAAATAACCAATCATAATGTGTTAATAGACATTTCATTCGTCTTAACTCATAGAATTTTCTTCAACGCCGAAAAACTGAGATTAGCAGAGACCTTTCATGAAAATCCCGAGTCAAGGTATAGCTCTGAAACAACCTTTAAGACTAGACCAAGAAAAAGCGTTTCGGGTTTAAGTGACGTGTTGCAAAGAGGATCACAAAATGTATCTCTATAGATGTTCTGAAGGCATAACGAGAATTTGCGATGTAAAGTGAAATTTTGAAATGTGTTCAATGGCAAATGGTCTGAAAGTGTACTAGTGTCAGCAAATAATTGGACACACTCCATCAATCGTTGGTCCAATTGACGATGTCATCGTTAAATTTATCATGTCAAATCTGCTCTATGGAGTTTTATTAACGACCGGTTAAACGACATAGTGTTACTAGAACAATTCCTGAGACCAGATGGTAGTCGTAACACTAAGGGTCTGTTTACATGAAATTGGGTGATCTCAGGTAATTAAGGTAACCCAGCTAGCCGTGGTCAAAAATTAATCCGCTTTTACACACAATCCTACGACCCCGAATCCCTGGGTGAGGTCGCAATGCTACTACTATAAACTGGGATCATTTACACTCCTTTCACAGTTCACGATGAACAAATGAAAACAGGATTTAGCCTATGGAATTTGGGAATAAATGACTACAAACTGCACTCGCACTACGGAGTTTTACCTTTGTTAGCCTTTGAAAAACTCACAAAACCATATGGCTATCATTTAATGATCACGTGACTAACTTTGCACGCTGGGTTATTTTCCCGCCAAAACCCAAGGTCATGGCATGGTTACTAAGCATGCCACAGTCAACATGGAGGACAGTAATCTCACTTTTAGACCAAGTTACTACGTGTGTTCTATAACTAAAACGATCATAAAACTCCTAGGTACCCAGGTAAATAACTAGTTATTTTTCGGGCTGAACATATCCTGAAGAAATAGTATCGATGGTAGAAATGTCGTACGATGTAGTTGTTGTTTTTGTGTCTGTGAAGCAAAATTAATGACCTCAATTTCTGGGGATATCTAGATTTTCCTGTCCGTATAAAGCACAAATTAGAAGAGTCAGAACCTTGTTAGAAATGTATATCTTAGCAGGAGCAATGAAGCATTTTATTTAGCTTTACTTAGTTTGGTTTAATGTTTAATTTTATAATTTTCTGTTTTATCTGTTAACTTTCTAATAGGGGTATGTATCGATTTGGATCTTGGTTTGGAAAATGAGAGAATTTCAGATGGTAACATAACCACTTCTTCGGTACAAAATGCCAACACACCAGCCAAGAATGGTAGACTGAATTACACATCGGGATCATCATGGTGTGCAGGAACGAGTGACACTAACCCATATCTACAGATTGATCTACAGACTCTTCATATCATCTGTGCTGTCTCTACTCAAGGAAATTCTCAAGCAGATCAGTGGGTGAAGACCTACACTCTACAATTATCCATAAATGGGACAACTTGGACAGACTACAAGGAAGCTGGACAAGTTAAGGTGCAATGTTTTTCTGAGTAATAAGAATTTGAGTACAAAAATACAACTTGTTTACATGTATTTCATGTAATAACAAATACATGGACATTGTGCTTACAAATCAGTATTTTTTGTTCTAACATAATCTCATTTTTTCTTAACCTTAAGTCACCAATTTACTTGAAGCCTACAGTAATTTTCATCATGTATCTGTAATATTACTTAATGTTATAACTTTTTAAAATCTTAGGTCTTCATGGGAAATTGTGACAGAAACTCAGTGGTGAAGCATGTTGTTTATGGACTGCTGACAAGATATGTGCGTTTCCTGCCACAAACTTACCAGGGTTTGGTGTGTCTGAGAACAGAGGTGTTTGGAGTGAAACAAAAGCCAGGTATATGTCAGGCATGATAATATTACATAACCAAAGGAGTTTCAATATATACATTTATCATAATGCTGGCAGTGCATGTGGGCAATATGAAACAAATCCTGTGTTCTGATTGGCTATCTGAGCTCATCTTGCTTGCTCAAGATTGCCCTCTTTGATCCTGTGCAAGAAAAAGTGGACTTACAAAGTTAGTAACTTTTGCATAATGCCAGTGATAAAGTTGCAAAAAGAGGCAGAACATAGTCAAAACAGAAAAAACATAAGCAACATTTTTGGGTTTATTATGCTACAAACACAGTTAGCTTCCTTCCCTGGCTCTTGAAATTAACAAGTTATTCTTGATTCTTATGAAAGCAAAATGTTTAGCTATATAATAAATCCCTTATTGACCAAACTTGTTTAGGTAAGATGGCTGGTTATTGACTTGGTTACTTTTTCTATTTTTTGTGGACCTTTACTTTGTCTCTGTCAACAAAATTATGGAAAAAGGAACTTGGTTGGTATACAGCCATCTTGACCTCACACTTGGTCAATAACCCATTTATATATTATGTAGGTTTTATATTCTGGTATTCTTTGATACTTCTTGAAAGGATTTGCCTGCTTAGCAAGTTCACTGTTCAAAATTAAGTTTCTTTGAGATTATCCTTGTGGAAGGTTTTGTCAGTGCTAAGTGAAATATAGACAAACAAAGGCTTGACAAATTGTAGTATGTTGCAACTGTTAAATCAACTGAATAACTAGGCAAAAGGTAGTCATTTTATAACAGAAGTGAGCAAATGATAGAAATAGCTTTAATCTGAAATGGGTAATTCATAAGCTATTGCAGGATTGAACTCTAACTTGAAACTAATTGGCACAAATATCTCTTACATGACACTATTTGGTTCAGAGAAGTGTTGGTACAGTACAACTATACATAACAAAAAAAGGAATGGAGGGAAAGCGAGGAATTTGGGAAAAAAAGCTGCATAAATCTTTTTCTTTTGTTTTATAATATCTTGAGTGGAACCACTCTGTTGCAATGGTAAGTTTTTCCTGGCCCATGTAGTAAGATTTTCTTCAATATCTGTTCACAGAGAACCTTGCCCTAGAAAAGGCTACAACTCAGTCTTCAACATTCAACATTACTGCTGACAATGTTTATGGTGTGTCCGGAAATGCAGTGGACGGAAATCCTGACACTAACTTTTTAAAAGGGAGCTGTTCACATACTCGGAAAGACAACCCCAGTTGGTGGAGAGTGGACCTGGCTTCAGACCATGTTGATGTCTCTGAAGTTCATATAGTCAACAGGTTCTCACAGCATGTGGTTACTGAAGACTACAAAATAACATTTGGTGAGTTTTGTTATCCTTTGATCAAATGTAAGGTCAACCATGCATACATCACCTCATCATCAGCTGCTAAACAACAGGCCAGTTTGGATGTTACAGGAATTTTTGAAACCTCGGCTAAGCTGTTTTGACCTTGTTATTAATCAACCCAGATGTTTTTTACTTGTCATTGCTCAGTCAATACAGGGCCTCAGTTTAAGATTTTCTAGCAAGGATCTTACTTGTGGTTTCTTGTAGAGTTCAGTAAGTACATGTAGATGGGACTGGAGTACTAGAACCAGGGTACTCAAGTGTCATCATTTGTCAACACTGTACCTTTACATGGGACACTCAGAAGTTTACCTTCAGTAATAACTTTTTTACCTGGCCACTCTGTTAAGGCTATTATGACACTTACAAAATTAATGCGATTAAATCCTTGTTTTGGTAGTTTTAATTTCTTTTTAATATGCCAAATAAAATTTCCAGGATGTTTACTTTGAAGAAGAATCTGTTACAAATTGATCATGTTTGCCACGTGGAACCAAACTCTACTAGTAATTCTGACTTTCAATGCTTCATAATCGGCAGGTAGCTCTGATAATGTGTTACTTAACTCCCCCTGTGGAGGACTCTATGATTTTCATAACTTCACTGCATCAGCTGTTTGTTTTACCAATCCACTGAAAACTGGTAGATATGTAGGTATTTTAACCACAAAGAAACAAAGTCTTCAGCTGTGTGAGGTAGAAGTCTATTCACGAGGTAACTTTTCACTTACTCTTTATACTAAACTTAATGTAGTTGTGAAGTCACTTTTCCTCTTTTAAAAATCTACTCATCCAAGACTTTTTATGTATCTCAAAACATATACACATTCATGTAGGTTGAACATACTTATGTTAGCATGTTTAATGTACAAACTGTATTTACCATAATTACTACAGCCAAAAGTCACATTGAATTTTAAGTTGCACAAAAGCCTTGAAAAGTACATCTGATTTTATAATTACATTGATAAACAATTGAATGTAATCAAAAGTAGATAAATCGACAAGTGCCATTGGAATATGTTCTTGTAGAGTGGATAAATTGAGACTCTTGTTTAATCTCACAGAAACCCTTTAACCATAAAGATCTTAAAAAAGTTTTGTTGGGAATTATTTTACAGTCATGCTTGTAAAAAATGTCTTTTGATAAGTAATTTAAATATAGGTTTATTTGCTATTTGAATATATGTATATTACAACACTTTTCCTTTCTTGATATTTGGGTCTTAAAAGTTACCTTTGGTCTGTTGCCTTAATATTACAGTATCTAAGAATAGTACAATTTATCTTCTAGTATGTCAGCAGTTTTAAATCTTCAATTGTACAATCAATCAAGCAATATAAGTATGTCTCTCTATTAATTTACCTGTTAAGGATGACCAGTAGAATTTATATAGTAGTACATTGTAGCTTAAGAATTGAGTAAAATGCCACAATTACAATGGAGGTATACTTTAAATTTCAAAATTTACACATACACCTGTACATGATTTTTTCTTATATCAAAGTTATTACAGTTTGGTGTCCTTTGCTTTCCAGCAAAGCTGGTACATCTGTAGGCTGCCCAAAATGTAATATCTACCATCAACCAGTTTTTTGAAAATACCCTTTGTTTTAATTTTTCTATATAATGTACAGTGTAACAAACATATTCAATACAACTCAATGCAACTGTCATTCTATGATCAGTATGTGGACAGCAATCATCTTTGTCTAAGGAAACTTTTTTTGTGTGTGTGTGTGTACATTTTCTCCTAGAAAATCTGGCATTTCAAAAGCCAACATATCAGCACACAGAGACAATATTAAATGGCACAAGTGATAGAGCGGTTGATGGAAATAGCAATATGGACTTTTGGGGTGGATCATGTTCATTTGTGATAGACAATCTATTTCCATGGTGGAGAGTGGATCTAGGACAAGATGAGTTTGTGACTGAAGTGTATGTAGTCGGTTTACTTGATGTAGATCGTCTGAGAAAATTTGAGATCAGAGTTGGTAGGTTAATACTCTTACAGTAATGGTTATTTTTGAAGTGGTCAATGCACTCTTAGCTTAATGTCCTCAAGAAAAGAGGGGAAAATGGTGTGCTGGGGTTTCCAGCTTTGACAAAAGCTGGATTGGACTAGGTTGGATCATGGTCAGGATCAGGGATCATGGGTTGCATCACAGACCAAAAAAAAAAGGTTTCAAAAAATTAACCAAAAAAAAAAAAAAAAAAAAAATATATATATATATATATAAAGAGAGAGAGAGAGAGAGTCTATCTAGTGCTAAATGCTATGGTAGCAAAGCTAAGTATACATAAGTTAAAGAATTAAAGAGGACGCATCAATGCTGTCTGAATCAATGTTTCCTCTTTAATTCTTTAACTCATGTATATATATATAACTGTTTTTAAAATAATAATAAATAAAAATAGGATTGAAAAACTAAAACATGTTAATTTAACTTAGAAATGTTGCATGACAAGCCAAAATGAAATCTGCATGACATAAAAAATTGCTTTACATAAATTGCACACATGCATTTAAGCTGTCATATTTAAACCATTCTTACTCCTCACCTCGCCTCTTCTCTTGTGTGTGGTTGGTGATATTGAATAAAGGAAAAGTGGCATGAGATGATATTAAAAAAAGTTAGTTAAATGCAAGAAGATTACATTTTCAATTTGAGTTACAAAATATGATAAAATACTTCTCCAGGAAATCAAAGTGCTCATTTGTGCTTTGGTCGATCAATACATTCTCAGAAATAAGAGATTGGGAAATTTCTATCCGTTTGAATGTTACTTCTTTCAGTGGAGATGATGAAAAATCTGATTTTCACCCTTGCAAATGGAGGGGTCAACTCATACACATATAAATATGATAATAACTGACTGATGAAATGATTCGTACCTCTTGCTTGCCTTTGTCCATAGTGGCACTACACAAAACTCCTTGACACAGCTGTGAAAGTGACTACATGGAGTTTTGGAGCAAAAAAACTTCCAGTGGGGCCTACGCTCCATTATGTCAGGCAGACTTTTACTTTGAGGTAATTTGGTATTATTAATGAGTTGATAACATAAATTAGCCTCTGTTAATATTTCAGAAGCTGATGTTTCAAGTGTTAGCCCTTTGTCAAAGGGAAACATTCCTTTGTCATTCACTCTGACAAAAAGCGAACGCTGAAAATGTCATCTTTTAAAATCTAAACGATGGCCAATTTATTTACATTATCAACTCAGTTGATAATACCAGTTTACCTAGTCATATTCTCCCACCAACACAGCACCACGGTTTCTTCAGAGACTTAGCCCCTTATTCATTTAATCTCAAATTTTATTTATTATTATTTCAATAACAATTTGATTTTTTAAATTTTTCAAAACTTTTTTTTTCTGATCCATGATCCGATCCGATCTGGTCCTAGTTTTGTCAATGCTGTTGTAGTTTCCACATTCTTGTCAACCCTCAGCCACAGCTATTTCTGCATGAACATGCATCATATAATTGCTGTTAGGTTTAGATGTTGGTGTTTTGATTTGACAGTTGTACACATAGATACCCTTACACGGTTATGCTCTGCTGATTCCTGTTTACCAAAAGGAACTGAGTTTTAGCTTCAGGTAACTGAAAAACATTGCCATTTTGCTGAGTGGGGTGGCTGGCTGTGCTCTTTTAACTTTCTTTTCAAGTTGGATGCATGATTATGTTAATTGGCTAAAATCATAAGTTTTTATTGTTCCACATGATTTAACAATAAATGTGTAACATGAGTCTGAGAAATGGTACAGATGTAAATATGTCCTATTTTTTAATTTAATGTAATACTTTTTAGTCCATTTTTATCCTTTTGATTGAAATCACTTATACATTTACCAGTGTTTGAATGAAGTATAGCTTATGAAAGTTTTTCTCCATGCAAATTAGTCATGTTTTCTTGTCACTTGACATATTGTCTTCACTGAGTTTTGTGGCCTGTACACAGTTTCCCTGATTAAACTCAGCGACAATGAAATGGCTGCTGCCAAATGACAGAAGGGAAGAATCTTAATAATTTGAAGGAACAGGAGCAGTTTTGATAGTTAAGGGGCTACATTGAAATTTTAGTGGGAGCTCCGTCTTGATGATGTGTAAAATAACTGCCAGACAATCATGAGTATTGGCAAGGACTAGCTTATTACAAATAATAATACTAATAGCAGTATCTATTTCTGGTAATTTGCTTGTATTATTGAGCACCATGCCCTTACTATGCATAACTTTTGAGTCAGTCTAGCCTACGCACTAGAAAAAGTGCAGCTTTTATTAAGGCAAGGCTAACCAGGGAGGTAAATCTTGCTTGTTTTGAAAGTGGATAGTATTTGATCAGTATATGTCTTATTTTGCAGTCATCTCTTTTAAGTTGTTTGTACTTTTTAACAGTGATTTATAATTTATGGTATTCTTTCAGGCACAGTATCAAGTATTACTGATACTAGTATGACTAGTCCCAAATGTGGTCGGGCAGCTACTCATAACCTTCCTAAAGGAGTAGGTTTGTCATTCTTCTGCCATCCTAGTTTGAAAGGAAGATATGTCACCATCAGGGATGTTAGGCCAGGTCGATCGGGATTCAATCTTTGTGAAGTTGAAGTGTATTCAGAACAAAGAGGTATGGCATATCTGGATATTTTGAAGAACTACTATTAACTGCTACCTTACTGAGTTGAGGTTCCAATCTACATTCTCAGGAAAATTTGCCATTTAATTTCTGTATGTAGACATGTAGGTACTTCAACATTGTTAAATAAGTGTAAACTGGTTGTGTGTAGCAGATAAGTATGATAGTTTGGTTTAAAAGTTGATATATATACATGTATAAATGTATGTTGTGACCTATTTAAACATAAACGCTACAAATTAAAAATGTGGCCCTTTGTGAAACTTTTATTATTAACCTGTAAATCAATAGTAAAGAATAATGGAGTGGTTGTGTAGTTAGCTGATGGTGTAAGAAGACCACATGATATAAATATTTCAGTAGCTAAGAGTGATCTATGTTCATGAACTGGTAATTTGTAAGAATCCTGTAATATAGTTTGTTGTTCTGGCAACTAGAAATTCCTGATGGCTTTTTTTCTTCAATTAGAGGCCAAAAGGTGACAAAGTTAATTAATTTTTTAAATTTTTTTGCCTTGAGTTTTCACTGAAGAAGAACTTACAGTTCTTTACACAAACTACCTCAAATCACTAGTAAAATCACTTGAGGTGTGTTTACATGGTGCACCACTCTCTAGTGATTGTTACTGTACATGTATGACATACCAGCACTGATTCTCTGGGTTGAAACCACAGTTTATGGTAATTATGATTGTCTTTTAACAGCATGTCATAGTCAGGCAATTGGTGTGACCAGCAGTGATGCAATTCCAGATGGCAGCTTCTCAGCCTCATCAAAAGCTAATAATGACCGTGGACCTTCAGCTGGTCGTCTGAATGGAGATAACCGGGGTTGGGCACCAAAAACTAATACTAATCACACTGACTACCTACAAATTGACCTGCAGTATGATTATGTTATCTGTGCTGTAGCCACTCAAGGATCTGTCAATAGTGATCAGTGGACAACAAAGTACAAGATTAAATTATCATTGGGTGTCACCTTTAACACATATGAAGAAAACAACACTGAGAAGGTCAGTTTGATATTAATGAAACATCATGCTAAACTTGCTTGAATTTTTTTCCAATTTTTTGATATTTTGTTCATGTAGTTTCATAAAAATACACTTAACAGGTAATTTAGTGTTAATAACTGGGTTAATAATTGGGTTAGTGTTAATAACTGGGTTAATTATCTGCTATACCCTCCCACTGACATAGTACCACAGTTTCTTTAGAAACTTACCCCCTTTAAAAATACACTCAGCAGTGTTCTCCTTTTCAGGCAGTAACCGGTAACATTTACCGCCTGTAGTACCTCTTATTACTGTTTAAAATTGCATGGAATTCTTGAAAATTCAATAGGTAAAAGGATTGCTTTACCAGTTTCAAAATTTATTTTACCTGTCATGCTTAAAATATAGGAGAACACTGACTCAGTCAAGCCTAATTTTATAGGCAGAAGAATAATGAGATCATGTGTACTATAGGTGGCCTCGGTCGACATATTGGCCAATACATTGGCCAATATATTGGCCAAAAGTCGACCGACAAATGTGTACATATTGGGTGATGCATTGGTTGACTATCGGTCTATATATCGGTCGACTGGTTGACTGTCAACCGATAGTCAACCGATATATCGGTCTATTGTCGGCCTATATGTCGACCGAAGCTACCTATAGTAAATATGATCTGAATAATGGACAGTTATGTGAGAGCATTTTGGTAAGAGTAAATTTGAACCAGTTTTATTACCAGGTCAAGTATTGGTGGAAATGAGTGAAAAATCTGACATGAGCTTCATAGGTCATGTCTTTCAGACTTTAAAATGCTTATTTTTTAAGGCATAATGTAGTCCAGTGTATGATAACCCACTAACATGGAATGTTGATGTGGCTTGCAGCTCTGATTTGAAGTGACTCATTTTGTTTTATTTAAACTATTTTTGTTAGAATTAGAGCTGTAAATTATCCTTTTTCATCACTTTTGGTGATGGTGTTTGCTACATTTTTATTGGTTGGTTGTAGGCTTATTGATAATTCAAAGCCAAGGAAAACTGCTGTCACTTGTGCACGGAAAGTTGAAATTTTCTTTTGAAGGGAATAAACATGTCAGTGTCTATTACTGTTCTTTTTCATTGATATCTTTAATATTTTAGGTCTTTAATGGAAACTCTGGGAGAAATGACATAGTAAAACACGGTCTGAGGGAATATACCTTGGCAAGGTTCATCCGTTTTGTGCCAACAGATTATCATGGTTATAAGACATTGAGAGTGGAAGTTTATGGAGTTCTCCTATCTACAGGTACCAATTCTATTTTGTCTGTACCATATCATTGAAATCCTACAAGTGTTGCAAAAAATGGAAGGGAATATTATGACTCACTTTACTTAAAATGTTACATAAAATCTCGTAGTCTGTATACTGATACCATGCTGTAGAAAATATAGCCAATCAGAATTCAGGAGTTCATTGTATATTTGATGGTATTGCACCCACTCATGTTCAGGTAATGAAATTAAATACAAGTGACTTTTGGGATATTCAATGGTATACTACTCAGCATTACCAATACTGATACCATGCCACAGAAAATATAGCCAATCAGAAGGAATTCATTGTATATTTGATAGTATTGTGCCCACTCCTCTTATTGTGTACTGTGATGCAATGCATGCAATGCCGCTTCTAGTGTATTTCAAGTGCTGTTTGAGCCATGTCAGAGCCAAATTCTTCCCTCAACATTAATGTTCGGGTAATGACAGACTATGAGTGACTTGTGGGATAAATTATTTCATGATATACCACTCAGCCTTACATAACTGGTATATATTTGAGTGATATGTGTATATGTTCAGTGTATATAATCACATTTGTAAATTATCCCCTACAGAAATCAGAATTACCACTTAGTCACTCCCTAAATGGCACTTATTTAATCCATTGAGGATGAATGAAGTCACTTAGGTTCACTTGATGTCAGACTTTAAAGAGCTTGAAATTCTGACTTGAAAAGTTTTAGGGAGGACACAAGCACTGTGATAGTACAGAAATAATGCTTCATCAATATTATAACAACTTTCATCTGTGTTGACCGATTCAGCTCCTTTATAGGCATGTGACCATTGTGAAAATATCATTAAAATACCTTATAATCATTTTTATTCAACATTCCAGTTCCGTCACAAGCTCCAGGCAACTTCACTGTGACTGCAATCTCATCTACTAGTATAAAAGCATCATGGGCATCACTGCCAGAATATGCCAGACATGGAACAATAACAGGTTATAAGTTGTTTTACAGACAGAAGGGCTCAGTGGACAGTTTAGTCATGGAGTCTGTTGCTGGAGCAGCAACATTAACTAAAGATTTCACTAATCTTAACAAGTTCACCAAATATGAATTTCAAGTGTTGGCTGTTGGATCTCATGGTGAGGGACCAAAAAGTTCTTTAAAGGTTGAGCAGACTTTGGAAGATGGTAAGCAGCTAAAACTGAACAGTGTAGGTTTTAAGAAATATTTTATTGAAAAACATAATTATAGCTTATTTGAATAAGATTGGAAGGTAATAGTATATCTTGGCAGGTTTAGGCTAATGATATGATGCAGGATATAATATGAGAGTTAAGTTATCATTATCATTTTTTTTATTATTATTATTATTAGCAGTAGTAGTAGTATAATGAGTTAACTTCCTTCAGCACTTTTAGTGAACAGGTAAAAGTGCATAATCTAATTTGTGCATTTTTTCTGCCAAAGATCAATTTTATTTCAGTCTAGCTTAAATAATGACCTTCATCTTCCATTTTTTTGCTACTTTAGCACCAACCATTCCTTCAAACCTTTCGCAGTCTGAGATAATGCCAGATAAACAAGTTGGTCCCAAGATAAAGCTCACCTGGTATAAGCCAGCAGAAGAAAATGGGATTATAAGGAGTTACACTGTGTTTTATAGTCACAATGAAGATCCTTATAATATTCACACTAAAACATTAAAGCAAAACATGTTCAGTTATACAGTAGATGTGTTAGGTGGGGCCATCTATCAGTTCCACGTCAGAGCTGCTACAATCAAACAAGGATCAAATGCAACCTTGTCTGTTGCTGTTAATGATTATGGTAGGTGTAAATCAGAAATTATTATAATCAATAGGCTAGTTTTGATATACTAAATTCTAACATGGCTGCAAGGCTAGGGGGAATGAAATAAAAGAAACTAATCGTTCGGTTCTCAACCTTGATGTGATTTCCTTTGCTTTATTCCCCTAACCCTTGGTGCCAAGTTTGAATTTTAATACATTGAAAATGGCCTATTAATTTTACTTTCAACTTTAATGTTATTTGATAAGTGTAGATGGTAAGTGATATCAAGGTAGACAAGTTGAGAACAGCTGCATTATAGGAGTGGTAAAGGAGGGACTCTCCTTATAAACTCCAAGTGCTTTCCAATGTAGTTTTGAAGGACTGGTGAACATGATTAGTCAACATCAATGACTACATACCTAAAAAAAATAAAAATTTGATGAAGGGGGAAGGAGAGAAGAATTACCGAAATACAATTTAGATAAACTTTGAGGATAAATTTTTGATCAAATGTGATTCAGAAATAATTAATTATTAAATTTTTTTCGTTCAATGACAGACAGCTGACCATTTATCTGAATTGGTATATTTTTTTATTCCCTTTTGTCAGAACCCAGTGTAGCACCAAATGATGTGTCTTTCATTAGACTGAACCAAACAACCTTCAATATTTCATGGTCACCCCTGACAAGAAAAGAGAGTTATAGCAAAGTTATCTCATATGAGGTCAAGATATCATTGGTGTTGTCTGGAAGTCGACAAAAGAGATCTCCAGCCAACAGCAAAACTGTTAACACAACAAAAGCATTTGTTATCCTGTATGATATTCAGCCTTGTTACAATGTGTATGTCCGAGCATACACTAAAGCTGGCCCTGGACCATATGGTCAACCCTTACCTCTGGAATTGAGTAAGTTTCATTTTTTTCCTCAAATTGAATATAGAGCATGCAAAATTTTGCTTCAAACTCATTAATTTATACTGCATAGACGCTTAATGTGTAGTCTGATTCAAAATCACTAGTAAGAGTAAGAAAAGCAAGGCATTTTGGCTGTCTTTGGTTGTAGCTTAATTCGGCTAATAACCAGGAAATTGATTAATTGAATAGGAGTGATATTCAAAATGCGCCCCCAAGTGTACCTAGGGAAACAAGTTGCAATGTTTCCCATAAATTTTTCAGCGCAAATAGCTGTACATTTTAACTCATAATCACATTATTTAATTTATTCTTATTACAACATGGACTATTTGTACAAATAAAAAAACTACAGAAAAAGTAGGAAATTAATAAAAGTGCATTTACTGAATACACAAAAGAAGGAACTTACTCTGGAATCTAAAAAAGCTATGATACTTACATTGTTTTACTTACTAATATGACAAAGTACCAGGGGCACCCAACAATCTGAGGGCAACAGACTCTCAGTCAACAGAGATGACACTGGAATGGGTGAGACCCCAACCTGCTATGGAAGAAGAGTGGAAGGTGATATTCTTAATGTTTAAATCTACTTTGCTGTAAAAACATGGATTTTGACAAATTTTTAATGCAACTCTTTGTTGCTATACAATTCTTATGATGTTAGTTTGGAGAAATTGGTATTGGATTAACTAATAATCCCCTAATTAATATTTTACTTTATTCTCATCACTCCTATGCTTGACATTGTATTGAAATTGTTAGGAGAAATTCTTTCTTGATCATTCATGGGAGTTAAAGGGTTAAAGGAGCACTGACGGAAATGACATCTGTCGTAATGAATATAATTCATAAGTGTATTAGAGACCTGGTAACATCAGTATGACTACCATTTAAGAGCAGCTACTGTAATAGTTACTGTAATAAGTGAGAGGAGTTATATGTACATGCACAGCTATATGTATATACATAAAATTAGGTTTTTTTGTTTTGTGCTGTGATCACGAAAATGCACGTCCACGTGGGAGATTTTATTTGTAAATAAATTAGTGCAGGTGTCGTATTTACTGTACCTGCCTTTGACTCAATTGTTTGATTGTTAAGGTTGAGTACTCTGGGAAAAAGTCGTACAACAACAGCTTTTCACATGAAGGCAGCAAAGATGTACAGGGAACAACAAAATATACCCTTGATAATTTGGTACCAGGTACCAAATATGACCTTCGGGTGTATGGAATCTCAAAATGTGGAAACAACGGATTCTCTTCATCTTTGGAAGTAGAAACAAAAATAGGAGGTAAGCAATAACATGCAGGTAACCGTTTGACCCCCAAGAGTGACTAACATCTAATTTCTCCTTACAATATCACCCCTGAATCACACAATGTGGTCACAGGAATAAAGGAAATGATCACCTACTTCTGATTAGGAATGTATGGGATCAGTATGGAGAATATGCATCTTGAAATTGATGTAAATATTTTGCGAATCATATTATTATATTTATTTTATTCCCAGAGCCATTGGCTCCAGTTGTACTATCACTGACCACCAGGAAGGTCGCTGAGTTGCAGGCTGAAATTGAACTTTGGCCTGCAGAACAAAGGAATGGTCCAATAAGGTGACAGTTATTTCAATAATATTTTAGGTCTTGTACATGTAAACTCTTTGTTCTTTGTGGAGTTTTTGTGTTAAGCGTGGCGGAATGATGCGATGTGGTTTCTGTATCTTGTTTTGAAGTCGTTCTCTGTGAGTCCGATGTATGTTTCTGTCGTGTTGTTGTCTTTGCGCGTGACGGTGGCTTGGTAAATTACTGATGGTTGTAGGCAGTTTCTGTCGAGTGGACATGCGTTCTTTTGTCGGCAGTTGCATGTCTTGTTATTAATGGTAGTGGCGGCGGCGGTATCATCAGCCTGTATAGATGCGGTTAATATGCGTTTGTTATGGTTGTCGATTATTTGTTTCGTGTTGTTCATGCAGTTGTAACTGATCTTGACTGATGTCAGAATTGTCTGACGAGCGCTTAGGCGCGAAACTCAGAGAAACAGAGAATCGATGCGTCCACTTTGATTCTTTCACATATATATATATCAATAGTTTAATTTCTGACCATTTATTCATATATTAAAAGAAACAAACTTGTTTATCGTCTTTGCGTGGTATATACTAACACAATTCACATTGGTGTCGGTGAAAGTGGTGGATATTTGCCTCTATTTTGGCAAACAATTGTTAATAATTGTTTTTCATTATTCCAGTGCTTATCAAGTCATTGTTCTGAGAGTTGTTGATGGACTTGAGGAGCTTCCCACTGATTATAAATCACATCTGAATGGTTCAAACAAAGACGGATTGAGCTTTTATGTTGCTGCTGAGATAGAAAACAGTCCAGTTCATGAGAAGTCTTGGAATTTTACTATTGGTGACGGAAATTCATATGGACTTTTTGTAAACAAAGAACTTAAGAGAGGAGATGACTACATTGTTTACCAGAGAGCCGTAACAGAAGACGATGGTGTAAGTGAATTTTATATAATTATGAACTACATTACATGTATGAAAACAAGCAAATTGCTTGAAGCGCGAGAAAACACAAATGACCAAATCACGATAGGTTTAAGTTTTGAATCTGAGTGGTTGAGAAGGTGGTGCAAGTTAATAGTATTTAGTTTTTATAAAACACAACTTGGTTACTTATGTCGCATAAGGAGTTTGATACTAACTTCCATAAATTTTGTGTCCTTTCTAGTACGTTTATGGAGAGGTCAGCAGAGTAGCTACGATTTCTGTTGAAGCAGGTAAAAGTTACTTTTCTTAATCTTACGTAGTAATGACACTATTTTATAAAAAGGAAAATATATATAGACTTAGTAGCAAACTTCGCAGAGTTCTAATCTTTGTGTTTCAATCGCAACATGTTCACTTGTCAGTTAATGATAAGAATTGGCTATCTGTGACATTGCATCTTATTTTTGTTGGTGATGTTTCTTGCAGTCAGGAAGTAGTTATAATAAGCGGGTTCTGGCACATTTTGATATCAACCTTTATTTTTAAGGTAACCCATGAAATCAATGTTGATTTTAAGTCAACCTTGAAATTAACCTTGATTACAGTTTTTCACATTTTGAAATCAACCTTGATTTAAAAAAAAACATTTTTTCACATTTTTAAATCAACCTTGATTTCAAAGACAACTTAAATTATTCAAGATGATAATATTCACACCCTCTTCACAATGTCTTACTTGTGAGTTCTGAAGAGGGTTTGGATATTATGCTCTTGAACGATCCTCTTAAACAATTCTCTTGAACGATCATCATCTTTGTGTGAAGATTTTCAAACACCAATATTGGATCTTTTTGCAAAGAAGTCGTGGTGTGCCTTGATTTGTTCTTTTGTCAAAATTGTGTCTTTATTAATGAGAAGTTATCTCATTAATAAGTCACACTTTCAAGCTCACGGTTGATGATGTTGAACTGAGCATCTGAGAGGATGAAGATGTGACATTTAACATTCCCTGACCCTGATGCTTTCCTGTTAATTGCGAGATGAACTCCATCTTTCGCATTAACCGATTTCAATCCACTTCTATGAAGATCATTGTCTCTCATACTCCTGAGATTGATGAAAAGAGAAGTCTGTCTCTAGCATAAAAGTGTGTTGCATTCATCGTGCTGTTTTCCTCACCAAATCTTCTGAAGATCTCTTCCCGCATATCTCTTGTATTCAATTTTTGGCTGTAAACCTTATTTGGGATTCCATTGACAATCACTTCACTTCATGCAGTGATGTCGGGATTAAATGTCTTCTCACTGACTCTAGCACCAGCGACATATGGCTCGTACAATAGAAGAAGATGTCCCTTCACTGACTTCCTTGGAACATTGATGCTGTCATTGATGATTTTGTCTTATCCCTTATCTATTGAGGTCCTATTAAAACATCGTTGACAGGTGCAAGCCTGAGCTTGAAAAGAAGCTCATCACAAAGAGCTCCTAAGAGGAAGACTATGTGATCCTTTAGCATCTTTTGATCCAATGGAATCCTATATTTGTTCTGATAAACAACATTGAACTTATTCTCCTTTTCAACTCCTGATTTCTTCTTTTCTTCAGCATTGTATCTGATATTCGAAAGATCAACAGGCTGAATACCTTCTCTGAACATGCTCACCCTCTCATTCTCAGTCAAGAAGAGGTCCTCCGAGAGCTTGAATAGATCATAATCATCAGTTTCCTGGGCGATTTCTCTTGCGAATTTCATGATCAACCTGTCAAAAAGAGCTCTTGCAACAACGTTCATGATATAATTGTTTGTGTGACCACTAACTGCTAAGTCAAAGATGAGTGAAAGAGATCCTGGCATAAGGACAACTCCGTCATCAAGCTTCGGAACTGGGACTGTAAGGACTTCTACTCGAGATGTCCTATTAGTGTTTAATGTTACTCTGTGAATTATACATGCAGGAAAAGATGAGTTTGTATCTGAAGTGTATATAGTCAATAGAAAACAGAGTTCGACTCACCTGAGAAAATTTGAGATCAGAGTTGGTAGGTTAATACACTTACAGTAACTTTTATTTCTGCAGTTGTTGATACAATTTTAGCTTTACATCTTGAAGAAAATTAATGATAATTGATCATTGAACAAATTGATCATGTTTATTGTCACTTGATATAACACAGTTTTTATATTTTTCCTGAATGAACTCAATGATGATGAAATGGTTGCTGCCAAATGACAACAAGGAAGAATCTTTATAATTACAAGGAACAGGAGCAGTTTCAATAGTTGAAGGGGTACATTGACATTTTAGTAGGAGCTCAGTCATGATGATTTGTGAAATAACTGTGAGACGGTCATCTGTATTGGTAGGGATTAGCTTATTACAAATAAAGATGCCAATAGCAGTATCTATTTGTGGTCATTGGCTTATATTACTTAGCATCGTACCCCTGCTATGCATAACTTTTGTGAGTCAGTATAGCCTACACAC